AATCTTTCTTTTACATATTCTATGAATACGGTGTTCATCTTGTTGTGCTAATGAGGTATGGCAACTTGAACCGATGCATAAATATGCCTGGTCCTACGTTGTACCTGGTTGACTGACTGACTGAGATAGTTTTCATGTTTGTTACAGCGTTTTTGGTTGTTGCACAAAGTGATTATTACGCAACCTCGTTTAATAACTGGAGACTCGAACCAACTTATGATGCAATCTTTCCTATCCTTCTAAAGACATATATTTATTATACGACTAAAAATGAGAATGTACATCTTAAGTAAATAATTTCATCGAAAAGAAAATTTTCTTCACTTATTTCTCTTTACTTTAAAAAAATGACAAAATGGGTTCATTTTTTTAGATTGAATCTTTTAGCTACATTCAAATAAATATTCATTTATTACATTAGATTTATATGAGATTCTTGTGTATGTAAGAAAAGTTTATGAAAGATAAAAAAAAGTATCACAGTAAATAGACCACCTGGGTGTAAATCCTTCCATATTTACACACTAAGAATCTATGTAAATTTCATTTATCTTGATCTTAAATGGTGATAATCTATTGAATCGTGTTAACCAAATATTAACTAGTAAATATCTTTTTTTATCACATATAGCATACACTGAATTACTTATTCCTTTCATATACATATATGTGACTCTATATATAACATCGCTGATCCAAGACGTTGATAAATAGACGTCAGCTTTCTTATCACTTTCAACCATTTTTATTGAAAACTTCATTTATCAATACATTAAAAACGACACCGTTTATTCTATAGAAAAAAGAAACCCACATTTCTTTCATACAACCACCTCAAGACAGATACACAAATACATGTTGACTAGTGATTTACGATATCGATTGTTCAATAGTTTATCTATTTTTACATATATGTCATTCATATATTCAAAGATACGTATAAATATTATAAAGTTGAATGATTACTTTATTAACTATATGATTGACCTGAAAATATCAATTTACTGGTTGATGAGCATCCTTATGAACTCATTACTTTATTTATAATGATGACATAGATATATCTATTTATATTTATCGGTCTTTAATAGTTGAATAACCAGTTTTAACTGTAACTGACAGTATTTATTTATTTATTTTATTTATTTGCCATCTGAACAATGAGTAACATAACCATTAATCATCTTAACCATAATTAAATAATGGTAATGATTTAATTAGTACATAAATAATATTTACTTTTTTTTGGAGAAAAAAACAATACATAATATGCTCCATGAAGGTAAAATACTGTAGAATGAACCAAAACAAATTAATGAATGAATAATAAATAAAATTTCCTTAAGTGAAAAAAAAGTATAACAAATTCTGTAATCTATTTTTTTTAATTTTCTTTAATTTTAATTTTCCAATTTAATCAATAATTGTCCGTTGTTCTCATTAAGCAACAAAACCCAAAAAAAATTTATTCAAATACACAAACGTACAGTTGTATATATATATATATATATATATATATATATATATATATACGTATTTGGAAAATGATCTTCCTATATCTTAGGGTAAAAGGAAAGAGATGAGTTCACATTTCATTTGTAATCAATTGTTATTCATAGTATAAAAGTAATATCTACTTATAATACACAGAATTATATCCAATTTATGCATGGAGTAAAGTGTATTTCTCTGTATGTTTCCACATATATATATGAGTATAATTCAACCAATTGCGTATTTTAATACACATGGATAGAGGAAAAAGAAAATACCTAATTAGCATTTTTCTTTGTTTTTTTTTCTATTTAATATGTTTTACTGATGTTATTGTTGTTTAGTTTAGCTTTTTGTAACAATCAAAAAAACAAAACTGACCTAATTTAAAATATGTGTAAAATTCAAAACAATCTACACAATAATGATAATAATAGTTTCTTTGTTTTATTTTCAATATTTCTGGAGATATTTCTACTTCATCAACGTATAGTTTGTTGTGTTTTTTTAGTTTTATTTTTCCAAAAATATTTCTGTGTATTCAAGGAAAAGACTGAAATTCCCCCCACACCCTCTTTCTAAAAACAAACAAACAACGTGATTTGTGATTTGTTACTTAGATTCCTGTGGTTTAATTTAATAATTTTAATATCTACATTTGGTCAAATGATTGACTGGTTGTAATCAATATTAAATGAAATAGAATAAAAATGAAAACAATCCACACAATGTAAAAAATTAAATCAGAAAAATTTAAAATTAATATTTCGATTATGTTCATTGAATTGAAATGATCAATTAATTTAAATTTTTTATAACAGAAACTAAGCAATTATAAATAATTTAGCTTAGGTTAAATAAGTTTCTAATTAGATTGATCAACCATTATAAACAATTATGATTAGGAAGTTAGTGAAAAAGTGTAATTCATTCTAGTAAGTAAATTTCATTGTAACCATAAATTTATCATAGATTTATTATTATGTTATATTGATAAATTAACTATTTTAATAGTTGAGATCATGAATCAATTGAAGCTAGACCACATGGAGAACCTGGAAGCATTGGATGGCCGTTTCATCCTTCAAGAGGTATATCCTGGAATTTTAGTGAGAACCAGTGACCAATGGAGTCCAACCAGGTCTGTTGTGAGATAGTAACTCACTGATGACAATGGTGGACGGTGGCGCAACGTCGTGGATTGGTTGAAGTTAGATACTAACACCGTTGGATGCCGGCCATCTCAGTGGTCTAGTGTTTAAGCGCTCGCGATTGAGAATGATAGGTCCTGGGCTTGAATCTCGCGAAGCGGGATCGTGGATGTGCACTGTTGAGAAGTCCCACAATAGGACGAAACGGCAGTTCAATGTTTTCAGGTTTTTCATGGTTATCTAGCTTCAATTGACTCATGATCTCAATTATTGAAATTACTATAATGTCCACAAAACCCCTTCTGATAATAAATTAACTATTGGTGGATTTATTGTATACTCGTTGATTATTTAAACTCAATTACAAAACAATGAAGTATAACATTTTAGTCCATAAAATCCGCGACTGATCTGTAGATTATCAAGTCACTTCTATTAATGAATCTCTTTTTTCTTGTGAAAATTCATCTCTGTTATACGATTTTTCACGTAGATAGAAGTAAATTGTATAATTTTCACATAAACATTTCTTTTTTTTAGTAAATTTCACAATCCTATTTTGTTTTAATTAAATAATTGAAGAGAATACTAACGAAGTATCAAATAATAATTATCATAATTATGTATATTTTTGGTAGGAACGACGATTACGTTAATAAAAGCCTAGACTTATATGAATAGATTACACTCCATGTATCATAGAATGTAGGCTAACTATATCTTTTATGAAATACATACGATTATATAAACTTAGTGAGAATAGCTGAATCTGACTACTGAACTGTAATAAATATTCTTCTTAATATGACAAGTAAATTATATATCTTATAAAACCAATATTCTATAACTGTGATTGGATAATGATTTCACTTTGTTACTGTGTTTATGACAACGAATTTAAAAAAAAATAACAGCGTATACCATAACATATATATATGAACACTTGGATGTCTTTGACAAAAACTTCAAAAGCGTTAAGATAAATTCTATCGTAAACTAATGTTATCTAGAGTTTCAATGAAAAGCATAAGTTGTTGAGTCAAAAAACAGGCAGCGACATATCATCTTACTAACGACACTAGATATGGGTTTCGCTGTATAACATTTTGTAATCATAGTCCAACAAAAGAATCATACTCTGTGCAAAATCTTGAGGTCCTTTTTCTGCCCTAACATATAGTTTCAAGTGTTTCTTACAGTAGAGTAGTAAACTGTAAAACAACATCCCTCCAGCGTTCCTTGATTTTCAGTAATTTACCAAATAAAAATAACCTTTAATGAATGCCATCATACCAATCAAATAAATCAAGTTGAACTAGTCACCATACTCTAAGCAATAAGAAAATTAAGTTTCATTTGTCAGGTTATGTGGTCACTAAATTAGGTAGGAGAATAGCGAATTTGCAACTTTCTGTGGATTACTCGTAAACTATTGATATCGTATGTATTTCATTGAATTTTATTAACATTTTGTATTATCTATTACTTTTCGTTATACATTTGTTGATTGAAAAGATCTAATTATTGGCAAACTTTATAGTGACTGACTTTAAAAGGTACTTCCTGGACTTCTAGTGAGAAGTAGTGACCAGTGGAGTTCAACCAGGTTTGTTATCAGATAGTAACTCATTGAAGACAATGGTGGATGTGTCGCTCAATTTTGTGGATTAGTTGAAGTTAGACATTAACACCGTTGGATGCCGGATAACTCAATGGTCTAATGGTTAAGTGCTCACGTGCGAAACCAGTAGGTCCTGGGTTCGAATCCCGCAGGGGGCAAGGTCGTGGATGCGCATTGCTGAGGAGTCCCAGAGTAGGACGAAACGGCCGTCCAACGCTTCCATGTTCTGCGTGGTGCTCTAGCTTTAACTGACTCACAATCTTAACCATTGAAACTTTATAGTAGTTGATTCTATACTTATTGGTTCTAATTATAATTATAACTGAAATATCATTTGATTCATGAACCAGAAAACAATTATTATAACACTCCTAAATGAAATGTAACTTTGAAGAAGTACGATTTTACTTATTGATATTCATATATCTATTTATATGCCTTCCAAGTATGAAAAATTCATACTTTATGGATAGAAAAAAAGAAAAGAAATTGAAATTACTGACGTATTGATATAAAACATACCACTTTCTTTTGATTTCTTTCACGTGATGTTGACTGAATTTAAGAAACATAGATAAATCATTTCGGTATGATAAAATCATAAATTTTGTTATTATTTAAAGTTTGAAACATTTTGCCTTGAGGATAAATGACAAAGATTTTCATAATTCTAAACAGTATGCCATGCAAGTTATAGACATAATTGTGAACTTTTTCTTTATCTTTACATTAAGGTAATTCAATGTTCTACAGTCCATCAACAGGTGTTATGGTTAATCCACATACTGGACTACTACCATCCACACTAGATCCTAATCAAATAAGAAATCAAGACTGTCAAACTACCAGTTATGATTTACTCAATTCATCATCGAATTTAATATCTCTGTTAACTCATTCATTACAACCTATTCAATCAACCTCATTCGTAACTTCTAATCCGCGTATCCCAATCATTACGAATACAACTGATAATAATAACGATAAGAACAATCATTTAAATATGTTTAATAATCCTAACAGTAACTGCAGCAGTATTAACAATAGTTGTTATCGATCAACAGCAGAAAATAAAGAACAGCAAGTAGCAGAATTTATTAATACTAATCGTGCTAATAAATTACAGTTTTTATTGAATTCTATGACCATCAATTCAATGTTACAAACTGGAGAAACTACTAATCATAGTCCTTTGATCGATTCCACAGCTCATTGCTTACAAACAGATATTATAGGAGCAGAAAATAATCAAGTTGAAATTAGTCAACATTCTCATCCTCTTACTAATCATCTTCCTCATTCTTACTCAACTTATAGTCAACATAATCAACCACAATTACAAATATTGGGCCCATCAACAGTCCCATCTGTTCAACAATCATCAATTACTGGAATAAATTATCATCCACCTACCGTATCTGAGAATCTTGTTACAAATGGCCAAGCACATTATCTTATTACAGGTGCACCAAATGGAACAAATCCTAGTCATACAACAATATTTGCTAATCATATACAAACCTCACCAGTTACATTGATTCCAGAAATTGATTATAATGTAAGATTATAATTATTGTTGTTTTCATGTAAAATGAATAAATAAATTATTAGTAATATAACTAAAATCTGAAATTTTTATTGAACAGAACTGATTCTATTTAAAGCAAAGATGGATCGTGGCTAGTAGTGGAATCCAGGACGTGCGTTTCGTCCTTTTTGCGGCTCGTCAGCTGAATTTACCTGCATCCCAGAGTTCATGTTCACTACGAAACTCAAACCCAGTATCGTTCGCTTCAAATGCTATATCGTTGTCCACCTAGCTACTAAGTCCTGATAACCACTTGCTTGTGCAATCGGGTGAAGTTTAACTTCATTTTGTGTTGTTTTACTTGTATCTTCTCATTATTATTTAGGACTGCAACTGATCAGTCTCTTGTTGGGATGTAGGTACATCCGGCTGATGAGTCCCAAAGAGAACAAAACGCGCATCCTGGATTTTACTACTAATCGCTATCTATCTTTGCCTAAAAAGTTTTTGACTTCAGTTTTTATCGAGACAATCCGCACAGGATACACATATCCCATCAACAGACTGATCAATTGAAATCTTAAATAACAATGAGAAGATACAAGTAAAACAACACCAAATGAATTTAAAATTGATTCTATTTTAGAAATGAAGTATGACTATCGAAACAAAAAAAATCAAATCTAAAGTTTAAAATTTCAAGAAAAAAAAGAGAATAAAAACAAAAGATCAATGAATACAGATACATAAATGTATACAAATGTACTTGCTTAAGATATCAGTATTTCATGTATATAATATACAATTTTAAAAATGATAAACTACATTATTTCATGACTGATCGATTTTTAGAATTGTGAAAGAGAACAAATTTATTTAAAGTAAAAACTAACTAGAAACAAAGTAGTGAATATCAACAAATTTCAATTTCAATTTACTTAACAAGACATAACTCCATTGTGATGCAATATAACATTTGAATATTTAGTCTACAATGTAAATAGTCGGATAGATGATTCATTGGACTAAATCTATTTGCTTTTTTATTATAAAGAAATAAATAGTTTATCAATTTATTTAATTATTTATTTATTCATTTATTCTTTTGAATTTTGTTTACACATTAAAACAAAAAAAAGATAAAACTGAATTTTTGTTTAAACTAGTTTTTTCAATGGTTAAGATCATGAGTCAGTTGAAGTTAGACCACCATGGAAGTACTAGATTGCCGTTTCGTCCTGTTGTGGGACTCCTCAGCATTGCGCATCCACGATCTCGCCTCGTGTGGTTGAAACTCAGGATGGTGTTAATGTTTAACTTCAACTAATCTACAAAATTGAGCCACATGTCCACCATTGTCATCAATGAGTTATTATCTCACAACAGACATGGTTAACCCCATCGGTCACTGCATCTCACTAGAACTTCAGGATGTACCTCTTGCAGCCAGTCACTTGTAAGCATATGTTGACTCATGATCTTAACCATTGAAATTGCTATAATATCCACAAAAACCCTTCTGATACTAATCAGCATATGCTCACTAGTGACTGGCTACATGAGGTATATCCTGGAGTTCTAGTGAGAAGCAGTAAACAGTAGAGCTCAGATAATAGCTCACTGAAGACAATGGTGGATGTGCAGCTCGATTTCGTGGTTTAGTTGGAGTTAGACATTAACACCGTTGGATGCCGGCCATCTCAGTGATCTAGTGATTAAGCGCTCGTGCGCGAGAATAATATGTCCTGAGTTCGAATCTCGCGGAGGGTGGGATCGTAGATGTGCACTGCTGTGGAGTTCCACTATAGGACGAAACAGCCGTCCAGTGTTTCCAGGTTTTGCATAGTGATTGAGCTTCAACTGACTCATGATCTCAACTATTGAAATTACTATAATATCTACAAAACCCCTTCTGATATTAAACTAGTTTTCTTCACTTTTTCTTTCTTTATTTTTCCTTCTTATATTTATTTTTTTGATAAAATTTATTATCATTAATATTATACCTAAATAATTCGGACGTAATCAAACAAATAAATTGTACTCTAATTTCTACTTCAATAACTCTGACCTGATAAAACCATTTAATTAAGTAAATTAACTCAATTGTTTTCATTTTTCTATGTAATATCATCTAAGGTTAAGTAAATAAAGATAGAATGAAATCAAAGTGAAATACTTCACCATTTATTTTTACAAAATTAAAGTGAATATTTATTAGATATTGATTCGATTTAAAAAATAATAACATTGTGAATGGATAAGAAACTGGAAACCTAAATAAAAAAGTATTAAAGAGTATTAAGTGATTATTCATTATGGTCATGAAACTAGATAATAGTATCCACATAAGTAATATATAACGATAGTCAGGAATATAATATATTTCAATAGAAGATCGAGAAGGAAAGAACGCAAATGGAAAGCAATTGGTGTGAAAATGCAGGAGCAATCCAATCCGAAAAGATTGACTGATATTTGAAAAAGGAATAGTGAAGTTTGAGACGATTGATATTTTGCAAATTAAGTATTTACTGTATAATTTACAGATTTTACTAAGAGATTCTGTAATTTTGTCTTCAAATACATTCGATTGTCCCAACTGGTGCTCTCGTTTACTACAGTATTATTTATGTTGATTTGTTACGATTTGGTGGAAATCTTTTCTTTTAAAAAAACAAGACTTCTCACTAAGTGACTTATGAATCGATAATAATATTGTAGAACTCATGTAACTGCTTTTTTCAAGAATGTTCTCTACACTTATGTGGTTAAAATTACCGAATTCAATTTGGATGGAACAGATTAAATTTTTTTCAAAATTCGCAAAAATCGAAGCAGGAATATTGTTAACTCAATGACAAAAGTGAAAGACTCAATAAAGATATAAATGCTGAAATTCTTTTTTTGCCTGATAGAGTGTCTGTTTAAATGGAATTAAACAAAATATTATCAATATAAATGAGATGAGGTGTGTTATTGATTCTTCTCTATTCTCCCACTTCCTTAACTTCCTCTTTTGACTGTTAAACCATTTCGTTGGACAGACAGTTGGTTTATATTTGAAATTTAAGTCTGGGAGGTTGATATAATTTATTAGTATCAACAGTGTTGTGAGACGTTAAATGATAAATAACACTCATAGTTCTAAACACTTAAAATGGGTTGCTTAAACTAAGACTCCTAACTTAAATTTTTGACTACCTGAGATTAAAAAACCTATTTTCATGTCAAAACGTTACATAGATTTTAACTCAATCATCAAATGTTGTGTTTAATTGATATATTAAGCACCTAATCGTCCTCATTTTATCTTCCCAGATGGTCATATTTTTGAACGTGAAGTGAACATCTTAGATATGCTAACCACTGGTTATCAATCAATCTAAAAGTGTAGTGAACAAGAACACGAGTGAGGACAATCGAACGTATTTGACACAAAATTACAGGGCATCTCAATAAAATCTGAGAACCATATAGTGAATAGCTAATTTACAAAATATAAATCCATCATATCAAACTTAACTGTTCCTGTTGCAAACATCAATCCATTGTCTCAGATTTCATTGTTCATACGTTTTCATGACAATTGCGTTCCATTCCCGTTCTTTCCTTATCTATCTTCTGCTGAAACACATTCTATGCCTGACCACCGTTATATACCAATTGTGTGGACATAAGTAACCCACACCACAAATATAGTAAGTTATTGACTTTCACTAAAAAGAAAAATAGGTAATTCCTAAAGGTGGGAGATTTTTGTAAAACTGTAAGCATAAAACGAAGGCTATCATGAACTAGTTTCATATGAATTCAACAGATATTCAACTGATATATGCATAATGAATGTTAAAAATTTGGTTTTATAACTGCCTGAAATATTCCTTATTATCCAGATTTTATTATTATGGAGTTAAATAATTGAACAAACTAACTCCCACCAACATTTAGTCTGTTATTTTGTAAACTAATACTAATCAAACAAATATGTAACAGCCAATTTTAAATTTACCTAAAGTGGGTAAACAATTACGAGTAATAAACTAATCTCAAGGTCTTTTATCAAATGTTACTAACTATTCTTTACGTTCGCATTGCCTATTATTTATATTTCAATAAACGAGCAACCACTGCAATTCTCATAACACGAAGTAAGAATATCAAGGCTAGCACAAGCGAAGATTTATTGACTTAACTTTCTATTGATTATACATCAATTTTGATCACTAACTAAAATCAAGTCACATATATGAAAAATACCCAAAGTTATAACAAAATCAGTTGCTACATGTCGTACTAGGTATATTTCATGTTAATTTTTAATACGAAAATGTCGTATCTTGAATAAAACATCGCACACAAATAAATTATTGTTTTACCAAGTAAAATATTACACTGGAAACCAAAACAAGTACTGTGGTGTGGGTTACTTATGTCCACACAATTGGTATATAACGGTGGTCAGGCATAGAATGTGTTTCAGCAGAAGATAGATAAGGAAAGAACGGGAATGGAACGCAATTGTCATGAAAACGTATGAACAATGAAATCTGAGACAATGGATTGATGTTTGCAACAGGAACAGTTAAGTTTGATATGATGGATTTATATTTTGTAAATTAGCTATTCACTATATGGTTCTCAGATTTTATTGAGATGCCCTGTAATTTTGTGTCAAATACATTCGATTGTTCGTTACAGTACTATACTGAGTAATCACCACATTGAATTAAAAATAAAAGTAATGTTGAACAAAAAAATCACAATGAGTAAACGAATGTAATTTTATCTTTATATCCTATCATATTGTTTGGGTTGCGCTACTGATGTTGACAAATATAAGTAGTATCTATCATCAATCATATGTAAAATGTCTGGCAGCAGAAAATTACAAACATCAAACAAAAGAGAACGGGAACAAAAAATAATGATTGGTATGGAAACGAAGGAATAATCAATTCTAAGACAATAGAATAACATTTTGTAAATGAAGTATTTATTGAATGGATCTCATATTTTATTAAGATATTCTGTAATTTTGCATTCGAATACATTCAATTATCCTCACTGGTGTTCTTGTTCAATACAATCACTTAATAGAATTCGATAAATACAAAGAAGTGTATAGATATGTATTAAATTACGACTTTTAGATGTTGCTCTTAACTTGCTAATTTTATAAAGATGACTATTCTTTAATGAAATTGTATTTCATTAATTTAACTAAATATGACAATAGATGAATTTCTATATATAAATTTCTTTTACAGGCTTGTTCAATTATACATACATATAGAAATGAATAATATAATTTTTGATTAGTTCTTCATTTAACTTTAAATTTACCTCTAAAATTGAAGTGAGTTAATTCAGTTTTATTTATTTTAATTTAAATCATTTATTTAATTTCTCATCTTTTTTTATATTCTTGATAACATTTATTGAATCCACTTGAATGTTCAGTGTTTTTAAAGTAAATAAGTTTTTTTAAGATTTTCCCTAAAAAATTTAAACAATTTATCTTTTTCAATGGTTGAGACCATGAGTCACTTCCAACGACCGCGTTATTCACTTAGCTACTGATTTCAGATAGCCACCAGCTTGTACAATAAGGGGAACTTCATTCCCTTTTCTCATTGTTTGTTTGAATATTCCTATTGATTGCACTGATATTATTTCTCAAATATCTATCCCACTGAGTTTATGCAGATGAAATGTAATCATTTTGTTAAATTAATATTCAGTTGAGACGGAACCACCCTACCTACCAATAATAAGTAGTATAATTTAGATTACACAAAAATTGACATGTAGAAGTTAATCTAAACACTTAATGATACTAAATTATATCATGAAGCCAAGTTTTAGATAATAGAAAATGCAGCCCAATATTTAGAGATTTAAAATCTAGTTTCTTTTATTTCATTTCAGTCGTTTTACAGGCAAAATAACCAAACGATTGGATGAAAACATTCCTATTAATTTCATGTAATCAATAAAATCATACTATATTTTTCTATTAAATTGTTCTCAACTCAACCAAAATGCTCAAACTCTTCAGTGTGACTAAAAAAACATACCATTTCCTAAAAATCAATCTAATATTCATTTATTCTTCATCGTTTGCATCAACAAAATCAGTACACTCTTATATTGCAGATTACGTTGCCATAGTGATTATTATTATTATAAAATTTTTGGATGTAAACGCATGAATCGAGTTTTTTCTGCTATATTCTACTTTCATTTTTCTTTACTGTCCCCTTCATTTCCACATGAATTTTTTTTTTACTGGATTATATAATAATTACCTTGTTTATTTCAGTGAATCAATAAATTAATTTTCAATATATACATTTCTTAACAAGAGAATAAAGAATAAACTTAAATTAATGAAACGAAAAATAGTAACTTTGTAAACATTATATACTGTGGTAACATTACCCCCCCCTCTATGAAAATAAAATGGAAATTGTTTTGTTTTATCGTTTTTCAATATTCTCATTATTTTGATTTTCTTTAAATCAATTTATTTTTCAGTAAAAAAACGTCGTTTTTATTTTTCTTCTTTGAAACATTAACATTTATTATATTTAATTTTTTCTTCTATATTTTAATCAGGTGCTGTCTATACTCTTTATAAAAATAAAATAAATGTATCAAAATGGCTGTAAACTATTGCAAATTATGTTAGAGTACAGTTTTATTATAATAGTTCAATTGTTTATAATTTCACTGTATAAATGTATTTCTTTTTTTTCTTTTTATTTATTTATTTATTTATATCTGTAATTCATTCATTATTTCTATTTTAAAAATTATAAACAAAATATAAACAATAAAATGTAATAGTTGCTCACTAATATAAACTCATATGAAATACTAAAATGTTGACATCAAAGAAAAAAAATTGAAAGTAACTTTTTTAACAAAATAAAACATAACAACATTAGGTGAACACATTTTTAATAATCCAGTTTAAAGATTGTTGTCGTTGTTGATGTTGTTGATGATGATGGTGATGATGATGAGAGAGTATTTAGGAATATTTATTTTAAAAATATATGATCATAATCACATCACTACTTATATTATGATTATTAAACTTTCATAATAGTAAATATGAATTTTGTTCTTTACAAATTAGTACAAGTGTACAGGAGAGGAAAATCGATCATAACAACTAAGGTGTATACATGTTATAGATAATACATGCATAAAGATACATGAAGAAATCAGTGTAAGAACTATCTGAGATGGCACTAGAAATACGAAATAGGTATACATTTCAACTGATCTTATTGATGGATTCATTTAATATTATTGAATCGTCTTGCTTTATTTTATAATGTTCAGTATGGTATCTGCAAATTGACTGGGAAATAATTATATTTGAAGCAATTAAATTTCGATAGTGTAATAAGAAGACGAAAATTATCAGAACTATTTGATATGTTAGCGCAATACATTTCGAACAATTTGATCACACATAACGTACTTGTTAAGAACATTTGTATATAAAAATAAGAGGTCAACTAGATTAGAAATGTAGGGTTAGAGGAGACAAGAATAATAAAGGAAATAATGTAAAAACAATTTGAAACCAGGGTAGGTTTAACGTGAGAACACAAAGGGGGTCATAAGATTGATCTTAACTCGGTTTTTGTGGTGTTGTACAAAAGTATAAAAGAGCGTATACTAAGGTTTATTTAAGCCTTAGCCACACAAAATTTCAAACTCCCTCTGTGATTCAAACAATGAAATATTAGATAAAAGGTTATCAATTTCCTTGAAATGAACTGACGGATTCCATTATATTCACTTCATTTGTTGAGAATAATTGTGTTTTTCTTGCCCAACGGAGTGATGATTAGTTTTGTTTTATGAAGACAGACGAACTAACAATCATATTAGATGAGGTAACAAGCAAAATACACTAAATTTTATGATGTTTACCGTTAAAATCCCCCTTTATTTCCTTGACAAGGTCTTAAAAAGCCAAAAAAAGATTATTAGAATTTGTTCGTTTACAGCTCAGTGAAAACACGATAGAATCTTGATGAAAAAATCACGGATAACGTGTCACATATTGAATTTTTGGTCATTCTGTTTACATAGTCTGCTTTCTAAAGTTTCTAACGTGTCAAGGTTGTTCCTAAGCCTTTAAATACTTTTGTTCTCTGAAAATAAGCAATTTTTGAAGTATAGCTTTTGTATTGTACCACTTGAAGCTCAGGTGTATGAAGATTCGGAAGATCTGCTAATAGCTCGGAAGACTTCATCAATCATGTGAGTTGTAGACTTATCATTTTCTCATCTATGCTTATTTGAAAAAGTTAATCCGACTACCACAATCCGTCTTCAGTCTCAAATACAAATGTTCGCTTATAAACTAGCGAACACCAAGGCAAATAATTTTTCTGAGCTCTTATCTGTTGAAAATCGTATTAAAATATCGTTCTTTATTGGGTATTGTCGTATAAAATACTTGGCTATTTAATGACTACAGATGAAAACGGCGAGACTATAATTTATGGACGAGCCAATCAGAAGAGTCTGAGGGATTTTAAGGTTACGGTGCCCATTTCAGTACCTGACGCTCACGTGCAATCTGTTGACAGAGAATTTTAGAGAAAGCATGGTAATTGAGCAGCTACAACAAATGGGACTACTAAGAAATTCCTTTGTTTGTGATTGTGGTAATCAGATAACTTGTGGACCTTGTGCAGACTACTATGATGATGTCTCTCGATTTAATTTGTGTTGGAGGGAGAAGTCTGTTGGAATAGGATTTTTTGCCTGATCCAGATTGAGACCAAGGCAAATTATGACAACTGTTGCGAACTGGATAATAAAAGAACCAGTAACACTAACTGCATCGGGTACTACAATATATACGGATGATTGGAGAGCGTACACATGCCTACATGGACTTGATTATGCGCATCGTGTAGTTACCCACAAGCGGCATTTTGTGGACCCAACAACCGGAGTGCGAAAAAACAATTTTCAAGATATATATGGTCGAGGCTGAAAGAGTTTTTGAGACCTTATCATGGCTCCAGAGGCCTACTATTATTGATCATATAGATGATTTCCTCTGCCGTATGCGTTACGATTTCAGAACCTCTTTCTCACCTTGACAAGTTTTCGAACCATGTAAAAGAAGTGTATCCACTTTAGTTATTTAGCTTTGTATAGTATATTTTTACTATATACTAACTTCTCTGATTGGCTAATGTTTCTCAAGGTCACTTAAGATTCGTTCAAAGGCCGTACATAAATTACAGTCTCGCCATCGACATCTGAATAATGTACATTCTTTTTGCTACATATTGCCAGTAACCATGATGTCTCTGGTTGGGCTTTTTTATAACTTATACAACGAAAGGCTGTAAACTTTTCATAAATGTACCTCAATAGGCTATCTGATTAACAGACATAATATGTTAAAACAAACAAAAACAGATAACTTGTTGAAGTATTTAGATGCCAGGAACAGGTGACCTACATGTTCAAGCAGTATTCCATTCAAATATGTTACCACTGCCACATTTATTTTATTATGTGATCACTTTGCAATAATCATCGTTATATTATTTAGTTTTTTTAATGCCAACCAATTTATAACATGAACAGTAGTCTCTGTAGTGCACTTCTTTAAACATTAGGTTTCTGCAATCTTGATAGAAATGTTATTCTCTGTGATATTATTAACCATGTCGAAAATGTTTCACTACAATAAACCAAGCTTAACTCATCAGGCAAGTAAATAACTATTTGATAATAGAAGATATCGGTACTGAATTGGATTTTATCAAAACAATCAATACTGGAATATAGGTACATTTAGTACGCAAGTTGCAAACAAATTAACAAGCGCATTTTCTAAGGAGACTGATTAACTTGGATCTGAATATCAACAACGGCAAAGCAGAAACCCTTAATCGTTATAATAAGTGTGTTCATTCGATGGGTTACATTACGACAATAACAGCAAATTTAAAGCGATTAGTCCCTTTTATAAGTTTGCCCTATTGAAATAACAGCAAAACAATAAGTGTCGTTAGTACAGAGAGTAGCTTAGAATTAGTGTAGATATTTATTAAACTACAACTTGACATAGTGACGAAAATTAATTTTCCAAGTCTATTCAAAACGAAAGTGTATACTCAAATCTGTATAATTTGATAAACTCGATGTTTTATTACGTTTGATTTTCCACCTTTTACAAACTAAATAGAACATTGACAGCATTGAAAAACATTATGAACAATTAAACCTGGTACCATATACTTTAGTGATT